GAGATCAGTCCTGGGTGTTCATTGGAAGGACTGATGTTGAAGCTGAAACTCCAATACTTTGGCCACCTCATGCAAAGAGTTGACTCATTGGAAAAGACCCTGATGCTGGGAGGGATTGGGGGCAGGAGGAGAAGGGGACGACAGAGGATGAGATGATTGGATGGCATCACCGACTCGATGGGCATGAGTTTGAGTAAACTCCGGGAGTTTGTGATGGACAGGGAGACCTGGCATGCTGCGATTCATGGGGTCGCAAAGAGTTGGGCACGACTGAGTAACTGAACTGAACTGAACTGAAATTATCAGTAGAAGGTTGTTGTTCATGGGGGTTTCCCAGACATCAAGAATTTGTCCTTAGCAGGAAGCTCTAAGTACATTTCTAGGCTGGAAGCTTCTTTTAGGAAAACAGATGGATCCCTCGAGATTTTTGGCTGACACAGGATAGGGGATGAATTTCAGGAAGGAAAGGTTTTAACATTATCAAATTGGAAAGGGTTAGAGGTGATAGGAAGCAGACAGAGTTGAAGGAATGATCGGCAGATGGTAGAGTAATAAGCATGGAGGAAGAGAGTAAGGATAGTCAGAGGTAAAGGAAGATTGATCAGTTTCAGCCCCTAATACATGTACCATTATCACTTTAGTAGGAATACATCCTTCTGATTAATAATGGCCACAGATCAAGGATGGATCTTGGAGACTTTTGTGATTGGTCACCAACACTAATTAAGTTAAACAAGGCAAAAGAGTTATCTCTCCCCACCCAAAGTTATAAAAATATTCTATTTCATTTCAAATTATAATTTGTATAGTAGCACTTTTTCAACTTCAGAATATTAGAAAGTATACACAGGTTTTTGACATTGATAGTTTTTTGGTTTTTTGCTCATTTCCAGGAAACACTTTCAGCAATGTACACTGTACCAGCCATAGTGGAGGAAAAGAAGATGCGTAAAGATAATGTAGTTCATCTCAATTCATTGATTACCAGTGGTTCTACCAAGAAAGTGGATATCACGTTTGTCCCACAGAGAGTAAGTACTTTAGAAAGATCATAATGTGGTGTAAGCTCCTAATACCTTTTTTCAAATACTTTTTATGCAAAGCACCCAAACAATTCTCCAAAGCTTATCTTTTATAGTTGTTATTTGAAGTTGTCCTTTTTCTAGATCCTACTGCTTACAACTAAGTCAGTCAAATTTGTATAGCTTCCAATATCTTGTATTTTTATTTTCTGTATTGACTTCTTAATTTTCCTTGAACAATTGAAGTTGTCTTTGGTCTGTACCATTCCTTGTGGCCTTGTAGTCAGTGAATTTTATAGATACTTTCTCTGGGTACTTCTTAAAGTCCAACCCTTCCTCTTTGTATGCACTACGACCATCTCACTTGGGAGTTTTATACTAATCAAGACTGGATTTAGTACATAGCTTCCTTAAACATCTACAATTAAAGAGATGAAGACATATTTGGAGAACAAGAGTGGTCTTGCTAATGCTTATCAAACCATGCCAAATAATAGACCACCAGCTCCTTCTGCCCCCTGCTGTAAAAATAATTTTTACTTCCCCATAACACATGAAGACAGTAAACTGTCTATTAATTCCATTGCTTCCTGGTTTTGACATCCTGAGAATGAACAGCAGCAGGCCTCAGGGTCATCAGAGAGGTAACTGAAGGGCATTTCAGTTGTTCAAGTAGTCACCATCAGAAACAGTGATGCCCATGTAACCACTAATGTCATGTAAGAGATAAAAGTTAAAATAGACTTAAAATTTGTTGTTGTTGTTCAGTCACTCAGTCGTGTCTGACTCTTTGTGACCCCATGGACTGCAGCACGTCAGGCTTCCCTGTCCATCTCCTGGAGCTTGCTCAAACTCGTGTCCATTGAGTCAGTGATGCCATCCAACCATCTCATCCTCTGTCGTCCCTTCTCCTCTTGCCAGAAGTAGATTGGATAGTTTTAAATTGACCAGATTGAAGGTTGTCTGGATATCGGCATGTTTATTGGCTGCCTTGCTAACATTCACTCTGGATGTGGTTGTTTGTTTAAGACCTGGAGTCCCGAAGCCACGACAGCAGAGCTGATCAGAATGAGGGAACTGCGCCGGGAGAGGCTCACATATGAGGTCGATTTTGATGACTTCATGATGCCCTTTCAGAAGCACATCACAGAGAGAGCACAAGCAATGGAAGCTAGCTTCAAGACGTATAGCACAGCGGCTGCATCTCAGAATAAACAACATTTTGAGGCCCAGGGGCCAAATGTTGGAGAAAGTAGCTTCCCATCAAAGTCAAAGCAACTCACAAGTTAAGCACTGTAACAAAATATTTGTCTTTGCTTTAACAACTGTAAATATTCTTAGCTGTCTAGAGAAGTCATGTTTTATTTTGCAATGATTTGCATGTCATTCTGGATAAATTACTCAATCTTCCTCAAGAATGTAGTAGAAAAATGGCATTTTTGGTCATAAACATAGTGTAATCATCAAAGAATTTACAAGATGTACATCATTATGTTTGTTAAAGATATTCTTTTAGTGGAACTGAATGAAAGCTATTTAATATTAGGGAAGAGAAGCCCTTTTTAATACTTTAAGGAAGCAGTTTTCTTCTCACACATCATCATAAATGATATGCATTAGATACTTTGGGTCAAATAAACACTGATGCCTCCAGTAGACACTGTTGACACTTCACCCATTTCTCCTCTGTTTTGGAATCATAGCACTCTCAGGCGTGACTTCCAGATGCTATAAGATGCCTGTGACACTTAAACTTGTACCATAGGGCTGAAGTACATGAGAATTAGCACTTTCTTGGAAGCAGCCCTCAATGACAGAACAGATTCAGTGTATCAGCACCCCAGCTCCCTCATCATTCTGGTGAGATTATTCTGAAATGCACATTATCACTGTCAGCGAGAGCGCCCCAGAGAGATGAGGATCAAGTTGCCCTTGGTGGTAGTTTGATAACGTGCCCTTCACTGGGCGCCGCCCCTCCCCTGTCCTCACCCATTCTGGCTTTATTGGGTTACTTCCCAGAAACTTAACATCCTTGTCTGAGGTTGCTTCTGGAAGGACCAAAACTAAGACAACATCTATGACTGAGTCCTCTAGCAAAAAATTTAAAAGGGCACTCCCTTATATTCTGTTTGCTACAAAATAAACATTTCCTCAGCAAGGGGGATTCCCCCAGCATCTTGTGCAATTGAGAAGCAGTTCAAGTGGTATTCATGCAGTAGCTGATACTCTGGACAAAATTTCCAGATGCCATATAAAAACATATATATAACAGAGAAGGACTAGATACCGTATGTGACTTTTCCTTAAGGCAAGTATGTGTGGGGCAAAGGGGAGGGTGGATATCAGGGGCCTACCATGAAACTTCACAAATGTCCACTGAAATCTGGTTCTGGGGCCTTACTCATACTTGGAAAAGAGGTATGTCAGGATTCTATCAGAGAAATAGAAGGAGTAGTATAGATGGATAGGTGGTATAGATAGGTAGGTAGGTAGATAAAGAGATTTGTGCAAGGAGTTGACCTACATGATTGTGGGGCTGGCATGGCAGCCAGTCATCAGGAAAGGCAGGCTGGAAAGTCCTGGGCAAGAGTTACCTCTGAAGTTCACTGTGGAATTTCTTCCTCAGGAAAATCTGAGTTCTGCTCTTAAGGTCTTTCAACCAATAGCGTCAGATTCACCCCGACTATTGAAGATAATCTTTACGTAAAGTCAACTAACTGTAGATGTTAACTGCATCTACCCAGTTCCTTCACAGCAGCACCTAAGAGTTAGTGTTTGATTAAGTATCCTTGTTCTCATAATTAAGACTTAAAACTGACCATGGCTGGAAGCATTCTACTAAGTGAAAAAATGAGTGGGAGCATTATCTGCAGCAAGAAATGCAATGGGTGCTGGGCAGGAACTCCAAAAATATATACAAAACCCCATTGACAGAGTCTGTTTTAGGATCTGCCTTACCAGAGGACATCGATTCCAATCTACAACTCCGTCAGCCACACACACACACACACACGTGTGTGTACGTACATAAATATATGTACACCATGAAGCCCCTTTCCTTCAGTCCCCTCCCTCACTTTCCACAGGTGGAAGAGCCTTGAACAGTAGCTAGAGAGCCAGGAAGTAGGCAGGATGAGGGAGTGAAGTAGCGAACCAGGCCCACCTTCCCCGAGGGAGCTTGCGCTGCTTACTTACAAGTTTTATAACATGGAGCCTGGACATTTGCTCTTAGACAGAACTAAATTTTGTTTGTTTTATGAGTTTTTTTGGGGAAAGTTTGCTTTTTCATTTAAACATTTTGATTTAACACCAGTCTTGGAGAAAAGTTGCAAGAATTTTACAAAAATTCCTGAATATTCTTCACCCAGACTACCTAAATGTTATTTATCACATTGCTTTATCTCCCTTTTCGATGTGTATATGTGTGTGTAATTTTTTTTCTGAACTATTTTTCAGTTGAAGATATTATGCCTTTACCTATAAATACTTCAATATGTATTCCCCAGAATAACAAGGACATTGTTTATATAGCCACACTGTAATTGCCAAAATTAGGAAATTAATATTTCAATTAACTATTTAATATAAGTGTCTTATTCATATTTTGTTGTTTGTCCCAATAAGATCCTTTATAGAAAAAAAGTTCCAGATCATGGGCTATATTCAGTTGTCACATCTCTTTGGTCTCTTTTGGCTTAGAACAGTTTCTCTATCTTTCTGTCTTTCTTATTGGCATTAGTATATTAGAAGAAAACAGGCTAGTTATTTTGTAAAATGGTCCTTAACTGATTTTGATTTGTCTTTTATCTCCTGTAGAATAGATTTAAGTGATGCACCTTAGGCAGGAATACCACAGAAATAATACTGTGTTCTTTTCAGTACATCATATCATGAGGTCCATGATGTTGATGCTGTAAACTTGGTCAACTTGCATCCCGTGGTTAAAAATGGTATCTACCTGGTTTCTCCTCTGTAGAGTTCTTCTTTTTACTTTTGTACTTAATAAGAATCTCATGGATATATCCTTTGAAACTACATAAATTTCCTGTTAACTCCAATGACTTTCACCCACTAATTTTAGCATTCATGGACGACTTTTGCCTGGAATAATTGTTACAGTGATGGTTGCCATAAGATTATTTTCTAATCCTATTATTTTTTCTGCATTTATTAGTTGGTTTTGTATTGCTGGTCAGAGCTTTCTCTTCTTCCTCATTAGTTTAATGTGTTGATTATGTAATCGGTCTGAACTCATGCTTTGCTTTTTCACTCGAAAGGTTATAATCCTATACTGTTATTATGTATCTTGGTGCTCAAATTGTTCCTGAGTTGGTCAGTGAAAGCTCCTTCGAGCTAGCTCTTGAGGACATGACATTTTATTTCCCACAGTAACTGGAGGGTTTTCTCTTTCTTGAATGTAAAAGGAGATGCCTACCCATGGTTTCATTCAAGAACAAGAAAAATGAGTCTGCAATAGGTTTTCAGAGTCTTTAATTCTTTGCTGTCACTCTGGTAAATACAACAGTTTCTCAACGCCAGTTTCATAGACAGTGCTATTCTGTGATCACCCTCGACCGTTTGAAACCTAAACTGTGAGAATGTGTTAATGTCACATCCTATTAATTCTCTCATATATATGAAGTGTTTATACTCATTCAAGTGACTCAGCAACATGTTTGAATGGGACTTGTGTGAGGGGACATTCAAGTGGCATAGTTTATTTTGAGTTCAACTCTAAACTCAAACAGAGCAAAGCCAAAGGTCTTTGATGTCCCATAAGGCCATCAGTGCTCTTCAGAGAGTGGTCCATTGATCAGCAGCATCAATATCACCTGGGAGCTTGGCCCCACTGCTACCAAATTATCATATAGAATTCCATATAAGCGTAAAATATTTGGAGAGGACATTTTGCTGACTTAGAAAGACCATCTGTCAAACTTAAAAATATTAATTTAAAGTATTATAAATAGTATGAATAGTGATCTCAGACTTGTAAATATGCAACACATAAAATAGTAATTTTCTGGGTTTTAGAATTATGCATTGGTTGTTATTGTCTTATGTAGCTCATCCATTTTTTCTATCTTTTTCTTTCTTACAAAAACTATGCATTAATTTACAATAAAAAACAACAACAAAATTAAAAAAATACAAGTTGATCCAGAAGTCCAGCATGGAAAAAAAAAATTTTTTTTAAGTGATTTTATCAGTAGTATTTGCTTCTTTTATTCTTATATAAGTATATATATGTATGTATATTAACTTAGTTAAGATTCTCTCAGAACCTAGAGATTGTCATGCAATCTCTAGGTGAAGTAAGTCAGAAAGAGAAAAACATTGCATATTAAGGCTTATATGTGGAATCTAGAAAAATGCTATGGCTGAACCTGTTGGCGAGGCAGAAATAGAGACAGGCACAGAGGAACAAAAGGACACCAGGCAGGGGAAGGAGAGGGGATGCACTGGGCGATGGGATCGACATGTGTACACTAATGTGTGTAAGATGGGTAGCCTGTTTGATGCACAGGAGACTCTGCCTAATGCCCTGCAGAGACCTGAATGGAAGGCAGTCCCGAGCAGGGGCTGTCTGTGCGCACAGCTGCCTCACTGCGCTGAGCAGCAGAGACTGATACAGCGTTGGGAAGCAACGATGCCCTAAAAAATGAAAGGAAGCTTTTTAAAAAAAGAAACGCTGAGCCAAGAATTCAGATACAAGTGGTTTGTCAAGGAAGTGGTTCCTGGGGGGCCAGATGAGGGAAGAAGCCAGTGATGGGAAAAGGAGGCAGGCACAGAAATGGGGAGCTTTCTGATGAAACCCCAGCTTCCATGCAGCCCTTGGCAAGCTGCAGAGCGCCAAGGAAGGGTGCCGGGCCTCTGGATTCCCAGGCCAATCGGTTACAGGCTAGAGGGAGTGCCTGTAAGGCTATTCCAGTGCTCAAGGGCAGCCCAGCAAACTGAATTGGTGGGTCACGGTGTGAGCAACTGGCTGGAAAGTGGGAAGTAGCTGGGTCAGGTGAACAGCATGGGAAAAGAAACGCCTGGATTCCAGGTGGTCACCAACAGAGTGTCCTGCAGGAATGATGTGCAGGAGCTGAAGCTGAGGGGGAAATACTGTTCTCTACACCCACCTCTGCATGCTCAGTCACTCGGTCACGTCCAATTCTTTGCCAGCCCGTGGCCTGTGGCCTGCCAGGCTCCTCTGTCTATGAAATCTTCCAGGCAAGAATACTAGAATGGGTTGCCATTTTCTACTCCAGGGGATATTCCAACCCAAGGTTTGAACCTGCATCTCCTGTGACTCCTGCATTGGCAGGTGGGTTCTTCACAACTAACGCCACCTGGGAAGCCCGCCCTCCTCTATGCTGACCTTCAAATGTACACTTGGCTGAACTGGTTAGGAGTGTGGTTTTGTAGTCAGTATGTTTGAATCCTCACTCTGCCATTTACTAGTCTCATGTCTTTGGGTCAAGTTACAAATTGTCTCTGAGCCTCAGTTTCATCTATGAAGAAAGGATAATAATATGCCCTTTAATAAACTGTTGTGATAATCAAATGGAATAACATCTATAAGGTTTCTAGTTTGCTTGGTTCATGCTCCATAAGTGATCTGTTTTTAAACTTCTTTTGATCTTGGCTGCAAAGTAAACAAAAGGAGG